GGGCCAGATGCCGGGCCAGATGCCGGGCCAGTTGCAGGGCCAGATGCCGGGCCACATGGGCATGAACCCCATGGGAATGGGTAGAATGCCAATGGGACCTGATCAGGTTAGTAATACTTGGAATGGAAGCGTGATGAAAGAACATGTAGAGTTAAAAACATTGTTTACAATCTATTTCACATCTTGCTGTTTTTTCACTGTCTCTGTAGAAGTACTGTTGAGGACCTGTGGCTGGCAGCAGAAACTGGAGCCTTTCACCTGTAGCAAAGTGGCCTGGGCCAGGAGAAGAGCTGGGCCTACACACACACACACACACACACACACACACACACAGAATAGGAGTTCCCCTCCATAAAATGCAACGCAGGAGTTTCAGCACATCGCAGTGTTCATCCTGAAGGAAGTGGGCTAAGAGGACAAGCCTGCATCAGGTTTCATCTCCAACTGAAGCCTCACAACTCTATTTAGGTTATGCACACACACACACACACACACACACACACAAAATCTATGTGTGTGTATATGCATGAATGACCTGCAGCTGTCGGACAGTATTTAGCTTCACAGTCAGGCTGCAAGAAGGGACAACGGTACAACTGATTGTGGCCGCACTTTACCAGGAGGCTTCTGTGTGGAACAACGATTGATGCAATATTTCTTCATCATTAAAGCCTTACTAGAGATTCAATGCCTTCACAACAATGGGTTTCTTTTTTAGCCTTTGGATGCGCCTCATTCTTTAAGACATTGGAAGCTCTAAGCACAGTTTTACTATGTTATGCATATTGGAGCAATAACTCTCACCTCTATGCTTGAGACTGTATCTGAGCACCATCACCCCCCCATGAGCAAACAAATGGTACTGCAGTATTAGATGTCTCAAATGTCCTCTGTGAACATGAAATGTAAATAATCTACAAAATATATCAAACATGTTTTTTAAAGGCCCGTTATTGCACAGAGTATGAGACCTGGTTGTATTTTTGTGTCCCATCTACCAATACTGATTTGGTTCATTAGCTTTTTTTTTTGCCGGGGCAAATATGGCAGGTGTGTTTGGGTTTTCCTTCCCTTGTTTGTCATTATCTTGATGCTGTATTTTTAAATTTTCAGAAAAGTCTTTTCATGTTTTAGCGAGGCACTTTTCAATTGTGATGAGGATCTGACGAGTTGAAGGTTTGAGCTTTCAGCTGTCAGAGGTTTTTATTGGAAGGGGGAGGAAATGAATTCTGTCAGGACTGTCCGTCAAATTATTTGTTGTTGGTGTGTGTGTGTGTGTGTGTGTGTGTCTGTGTGATACAATCGGGGTATTACACATGTTGTGAGGACCTGAAACTGTCGACACAGTCACATTATGGGGGCTTGTCTTCCTTATGGGGACAAAAAGAAATCCCCACATAATGAGGTTGGCTAGAGGAGGTTAGGGTTGGGCGATAAGTAGTTAGTTAGTGTAAGTCTCCACGAATTGAATATAAGTCAAACTATTGTCCTTAAAGTCAGGGAGACGTGTGCGTGCTGTGTGTGTAGCGTGCGTTGCAGTGAAGACAGGAACACAGCTCACCAACAGACCTCTGGTCCTTGCAGAGTTCTCTCTCCCTCCCACCAGCTTTGTCTGTGTCCAGTGTATTTTATTAGCAGCATCTTCTTTTGACTGTTATTCTCAGCTCGCTGAATCTACCTTTTCAACATGCGCAATCCAAAGATATTTTTCCACATCTCTGTATAGTTTCTGAGGTTTCTGGTGTACATTTTTTATCACACGTGTCATGTAATTCTGATGGTAAATGGGTACATATCATGGATCTGTAATCACTTATGATGGTTATGTATTGCAAGCGTATCGGCTATCGGTGCAGTGCAAAGAGGACGAGACGGTCCCAACCCCACAGCAGAAAGTTTTTACATCCAGAGAGAGAAAAAAAGAAAGCATGTTTTGCTGTGAAAGAGAAATAGTAATGGAATGAAATCAACTTAAAGACATATCAATATCTCCTCTATTTTTCGGGAAACAACTTCATTGTATGTGCATATTTTGTTACTTCAGGAAAAATGAACTTTGTAGAGTTTTAATGAAGTACACAAAAGAGGTGAGAGATCCTTTGGTTTGTTTCTGTTTTTCTCTGTGTGGAGGTAAGATAAGCTGTCATTTTACAGGATGTATATTACAGATTTTTTTTTCTTTTGATGTTGATATTGATGTAAATACAAATTTCTATTTAAACACTCCTGACTCTGGTTCTCTTATTTCGCACTGACAATGATTATGAACAGTGAGGCACACAATGTAGTCCATCCTCAGTCTGGTAACTGTTCATAGTGAATGTGTATTGCACTGACATCATCAGTTTGAGCCAACAAATGAGGATGATTGCTGCAGTTTATCAATTTTATTGGATGAGATGAAGGAATAATCTAATTATCTTCCATCAGAAGAAAACTTTTTTTAATATTGCCCTCGACTTTTTGTTTTAACTTTATTTTTTAAATGTATTCGCTATTTCAGGTTATTGCCACAGCCAAAGATTATGATGTGCTAACCTAGTAGTATCAAGAAGTAGGTGACAGATGTGATACAACAGTAGAAAAATACCTTATACTTTAGATAAGAGAACACAGATATTTAACTTAGGAACCACAGTAAATATACAGTTGTCCTTTATTCACAGTCTAATGCAAATAGAAGTACAGTTGTGTGATAAGCAGAATGTACTGAAATAATCATAATAAATATATATAAATATATTATATATATACGTTCATAACTTTCCATCATATTTGATATGTTACATTATCAACACTGATCATCGCCTGCAGCATTTCACTGTTATGCTGTGGCTGTAGCTGGTTTGGTAGCTTCATCTAGTGGTTACCAGTTAACAGGATTTCCATCAAGCTTGGTGGAAGGATGAGTCAGGAAAAAAACCCTCTGAGTTTTGGAGCTGATCTGGGTTCAGGGGGCAGATCCAGAACACTTTGAGTGTTCTTGAACTTTTTCACACTTTGGTGAGGAAATAATTTTTTGATCTAGATGAAAAATGAGTACTGATATCTATGGGAAATTTGGTGCAGCTTGATTAAATTTAAGGTAGTAAAAAAACGGATGTTTTTTTATTCCTGATTTGTGTAAATCAAAGTAATATAGTTCTCATGTACAATATTGTCTCTGCTTTACAGTGCAGTACAAGTGTAATAGGAAGATACAGAAATAGCTTAAGTACAAGTAAAAAGAAAAGTACTTATTATAAAACTTAGAACTAGATTACCAGAATCAGAATCTGTCTTTATGGTCAAGTAGGTTTACACATACATGGACTTTGGTGTGTGGTGTTGGTGAATAAATCATGAATATAGAAATAAGGAAACATAAGAATAAATATACAAAATATAAGAAATAGGATATGCATATGTTTAAACAAACAGAAATGTAAAATGATCAAATAGAGAACAGTTTATGAACATTATAAACACTAGAACAAGTATGTACATTGATATCTACAATTTGATTCTATACAGTTTATGTATGAATATACAAATATTAACAATAAATGTGAAAGGTGTAATGATGCAGTCCTCATCTCTACCATACAGGCTAGGGTATGAACTCTAATCTAGTATCACTGTTGCCAGGAGGGGGCGCTGTTGTCCACTATCTTCTCCAACATATCCACTGATTTACCCAGTCACTTACACTAAGGCTGCAATTCCGCCCACGGTCACAGGGGGGCGCTCATCACAAGGGAAGTAGGTTTGCTTCATGTTTACACACCGAGGGATTAAAATAGTAACAATTGTTTGGAGTGAGGTGAATATAAAAAAACACTGAGTGGGTTTAATTGTGATATAGTGATAAAAACAAAGTGTAGTAATGGAGCACACACACACACACACACACACACATACACACACATTATGGTGACCGCAGCAGCCTGGCCTTCATTTTATCCACAGCTCCACCAGATTACGTAAGAGATGTGTGTATCTGCCAATATAGATAATTACATGTGATTAAGAATTCAGAGAACTATTATGATTTAACAGTGTGAAGGAAAACAATGAGTGTGTGTGTGTGTGTGTGTGTGT